CTGCTCCCCTCAACGTCCCACTGGCATCATCTCCTCAGCCACATTTCCTAGGGGCATCGGCTCCCGCGGGCAGGGGCTAAGGGAGCAGGCACCTTGCTGTTGCTGCTGCCTCGGGCCCCTCTGCCTTCCCAGGTCCTCACGGAGGATGCTCGAGGTCCGTGGCTTCACCGCCTCCAGCCGGGGCAGAGAGGGTCCCAGAGGCTCCTCTGAGGCACAGCTGTGAGGCCGGAGCTCTGTGAAAGCCAAGGCCTTGTGGCCCCAGAGCTCAGGGACAGCGGGAGGTGGGAGAACCAGGTGAGGAGAGAGGGCAGGAGGGGGCTCAGTCCACAGGGGTTCCCCAGTGTCCGGGAGGGGCAGGTCCTCAGGTCACAGCCTCCCCAAGACCCCCAGCACGGGCCCCTGTTGCCTCTCTGCCACTTGGGCAGGGAGGGGAGAGGCAGGTGGGCTGGGGAGCCCTGGAAGTGCCCCCAGAGGGCCCTCCCCAGGCCCGCAGAGGGACAGGATGGGCCTGACCACTCTGAGTGCAACTGCCCTCTCCCCGCACCCTCAGCCAACCTCTTGCCTCTCTCTACCTGCGCGCACGCACACACACACACACACACCCTCCTGCCTCACCTCTATCTGAACACACACACACACACCCTCCTGCCTCACCTCTATCTTAACACACACACACACACACACACACACACACACACTTTATTGCCCTCTCCCTGAAGGTAGCAACAGCTCTGTGTCCCCCGCTGTGTGTCCCAGCCCCCAGCCCTGGGAAGTGTCCCCTGACCTCCACCCCCTCTCCTCAGCACGGCAGCTTCCGCACGGGGTCCCTGGGCAGAGGGTGTGTGCAGGGGACACGCTCCAGGCTGGTGCCACCAGCACAGAGACCTCTTCCTGCCGCACCAGAACACATTCTGCCTTCCCCTGGGGCCGCGATCACAGAGCCACAGCTGGTGGCGGTCCCCGGGCCCCAGGACTCCCAGGCCTCAGCCACGGCAGCAGCCCAGCCAGCCAGGACCCAGAGGGGCCGCTTCAGACAACTTGGCACAGGGCTGCCCTCCCTCCCCCGCTGGGCCAGTGCCCCTGGAGGCCAGGCAGGTGGGTCACTGTGGGGAGCAGGCGCAGGGCCACCTTCCCTCCCAGAACACCCCTCGGCCCTGCCCTGGTCCCCACCACTGCTGGCCCGGACAGGGGGCTTGCTGAGAGACAGAGGGCCGGGGCTGGGGAGTCAGTAAGTCCTCTCCTTGGGCTCAAGGTCACAGGCTCTGGGCGCCTCAGTTTCCTCACCTGTGCAATGGGAACAAGGTACCTCGCTCAGGGTCTGGGGAGGGCACAGTGAGCTAGCAGAGAAGCAGTCCCTGGCACAGACCCACAGCGGTGAGCCCCTGAGGTGTGGCTGCTGTGGCACCGGCCTCACTCAGGTCAAGGCCGGCAGACCAGGGTCCTCTCAGCTGCAGAGGGGGAGGGCCTCAGGGGAGGGCAGCGCCAGGGCCCTCCCTTCACCCTGGCACCTCAGGCTGGGTTTTAACAGATACCACAATTTTTAATTAGTTCTCTCCTTCCCTGGCTAAAAGGCCATTAGCTCCCCATTAGGTGATGCATCCCATTTTCTCCACATCACCAGAAAAACAGCGACTTCCTCAGCCATCGCCTTGGAGCGATTCTGCAGGAGAAAGGCAATTTAGCAACTGGCTCACTCACTACAAGTCCCTGTTTGTGCCCTGTGCTCCGGCCCCACCCTCAGGAGCCCACCCGCTGGCTCCACCCCTTGTCCTTGGGTAGGCTGGCCTGGCAGGGGCCTAGGGCAGCCAGTGTGGGCACAGGCAGCTCCGAGAGACCGGGGGGGGGGGGGGGGGCTTAGCAGGTGGAGGAGGAGGAGGACAGGTGAGCCTGGCAGAGCAGGAGCCGTTTTCCACGAGTCCCCAGCCACTGAGAGGGGCGGGGCCGACAGAGACAGGAAGACCGGATGGAGCAGCCTTTCTGGCCCAGGGCTGCTCTGGTCCCTGCTGGTCCGGCAGGAGCGCCTGCCCAGGCCCCACTGCAGAGGGGTTGGCCCAGCGGCCTGGAGAGCGGCCTGCCGAGTCATGGAAAGTCTCCCCTTCTTTGGTGCCTGGGAGTCAAAGGTCTGGGGGTCCCCAGGCAGAGGGGGTAGGTCCTTCCTTGTAGCAAGAGGTAACGGGACCCAAGAAGCCAGGCGGGAAGACGAGAGACGCAAGTCCCAGGAGGAGCTGAGGGTCAGGGAGATGGTGCTGGGTATGGGTCAGCCTGGGACCGACGCGGAGCCCCAGAAGCCGGGATTCCGATTCCTCGGCTACATAACAGGGCGGCTGCACCTGCGCTGAGCAGCAAACGGCCAGAAACTCTTCAGAGGACAGCTTTGGGTGGAGGTTCCTTAGCTCTGGCTCCAGGACACGGGGGGCGGATGGGTGTGGGGGTGAAGGGTGCGTCCCTGTGTGCACACGCAGAACCCCAGTGTGCGCGTGGCAGGGAGAGGGTCTGGGTCCCCTGGGTGAGGGTGCAGTGTGAAAGGCCAGGCCACGCTGTGGGAGTGTGTGTCCACAGGGGTCACACACACAGCCTTGAGGAGGGGCAGGGTGTATCTTGTGGTGACTGAGTGTGAGTGTGAGCGTGGATGCAAGGGTGTGAGTGGGGGGTCTGCCTGCTGTGTGTGTGGGTCGGCACCTTTTTGTGAAGGTGTGTGTGGTTACAGATGACGGAAGTGTGCGCATGCGGCATGGAGGCAGGAGGCGGGGGTGGGGGTGGGGGTGGTGAGTCCGGGGGTTGTCCTGTGTTCCATGACCTTGCTCTGGGCCCTCCAGCCCACGCCTGCCAGCCGGAGGCAGCGCTGCTCCTTTCCCTGAGCTCTGATCTTGGCCACTGCCTCTTTATCTGATCGCCTCCGAGCCCCCTCCTGCCGGTCCCCCAGCACAGAGGGGGCTTCCAGTCAGTCTCTGGGAGTGTCTGACCAGCAGGGGCTGGCCTTCATCCTCTACTCAGCTCATCCTCCAGGCAGCCGGCCAGGCCACTGCGCCCCGCGCCCACAAGAGGGCGCGCCAGGCCCAGCGGCTCCAGCCTGGGTGGGTTCTTGCGGCGCAGGCACAGGCGTGGCAGCGGGAGCAGCTCGCTGAGAGTCAGGCTCTGCCGCCCCAAGGGGCACCCTCCACCCTCTCCAGAGGCCCCAGGTGTCTCCTCCAGGGTGCTGTGGGCCACTTCGCCACTCTTAGTGCCACCAGGGGCTGTTTCTTGGGCATCCCAAGGGAAGGTGGTCGGCTCACTTTCCCCGGATTAGAGAGCCTGTCTTGGGCCATCCAACTCCACGGCCCAGGGCTGTGGACAAGCCACCTGTTCCTGCCAAGTGCCACCGGCCAGCCCTCACAGCCCGGACCCCAGTCCAGCCACCCGCAGCCTCCCAGGGCCCGCTGGTTAAGCAGAAGGCAGGGGAAGGGCACTGGGGAAGCCTGTGGCAGGCAACCCTTTGCTGGCCAGGAGGCTGCCCTGCGCACTGCCTCAGACCACAGCCCACAATTACAAAGCTGCAGCCTAAGAGCGAGGGGAGGTCTTCCCTTCACCTGCCCTGCCTGTGTTCACAGCCTCTGCCAGTCTTTCTCTGGGACCTGGGACCTGGGACCCGGGACCTGGGACCCAGGACCCGGGGGCCTATCCTGAAAACGGATCTGCCCCACTCTTTCCCAGGGCAAGGAGAGGGAGTCTCACTCCGGGGACCATTCTGGCTTCCTATCTGCTCCTGAGACTGGGACCCAGTCACACAGACTCAGCCTGGAGCAAGCCTGCGAACCCAGAGTTTGTGCGGACCGGGGACTAGCATTATGGGGCCACTCCCTCTTCTGTCCCCAAAGACGAGAGGGGGAGAGAGAGGGAGAGAGGGAGAGAGGGAGAGAGGGAGAGAGGGAGAGAGGGAGAGAGGGAGAGAGGGAGAGAGAGAGAGAGAGAGAGAGAGAGAGAGAGAGAGCGCGCGCCTGCTCTGTGTAAGTAGCCAGGAAGGTGGCCGGAGTGCCTTCCCTCTCAGAGGGAAACGGGGTGAAGACAGGGGTGCCATCAGTCAGGCACTGCTGAGGGGAAGTACATGCAGGGTAAGAGTCTACAGCCTTAGGGTCTGTCCTGCTGGGTGTGGGGTGTGGGCAGAGGCCAGCCTTCCGCCCACTCTACGATGACCAAAAGCTCTTGGAAAAGGCCGGCCAGAGCCGCCATGTGGACCCACCGGCCGCACCCGCAGGTGCCCTGACCACCGCAGGCCTCTGCCCCCGCGCCGGGCGGTCTGAGCCGGCCATCCAGGGCAGCCTGCCAACAAACGCCGGGCTTTTAGGCTTTTAGAGACTCGGGAGGCGAAAACGCAGGAGGGAAGAGCAACCTCCTGTAAAGAGCGGCCGTTCTCCGCGCCCCGGGGCGCCAGGGGAGCCGGCGGCGGGCTGTGCCTGTGGAGCGCGGGGTGCGCACCGGGACGCGATCTGCTGCAGGAACCGAACTCCGCGCGCAGGTGGCCGGCTTCTGGGCCCCCCTCCTACCCTCCCCCCCCCCCCCCCACCTGCGCCGGAGTCCCAACCAGCTCCGCCGCTTCGCTCAGAGCATCACCAGGCTCGGGCCCCGGCACCAGCCCCAGCCGCCCGGCTTGGCCCGCGTCCCGCTCCCCCAGACCCGCCCAGCTCCGGCGGAGGGACCCTGCCCACTGCGCCACGCCGCTCCCCGCCGGTCCCTCCGGCCCGCAAATGCCCGCCGCTCGCAGAAAGGCGTTCCGAGTGCGTCCACCCGCGGCTCCGCGCGGTGCCAACTTCGCCCCGGGCACCGACCCCCCGGGCACCGGACCCCCGGGCACCGGCCCCCCGGCCCCGGCCCCCGGGCACTCGCCTCCTGGGCACCGGCCCCCCAGCACCTGCACCGGCCCCTGCCTCCCCCCCTCCCGGCACCGGCCCCCGGGCCCCCGACCCCCGGCTCCCGCGCCCCCTCCCCCCCGGGGCCCTAGTCCCCGGCCCCGGCCGCGGACTCACCCTCGCCGAGCAGCGGCAGCAGCAGCAGCCATGGCAGCCCCGCGGAGCCGGCGGTCGCCTTCGCCATCGCCGTGCGCGCTGGGGCCCGGCAGGAGGGTGGTGGCTCGGCCGGGGGGTGTCGGGGACAAGTGTCGGGGACAAGTGGGGGCGCTCAGCCGGGCCGTCCCATCCCGCCGGGAGCGTCGGGAGGACTCGGGGCGACCTGCGTGCTGCGCGGGCTCCGGCCGCGGACTCCGGTGAGCGGCGCGGGTGCGAGGGAGGTGCCGCGGGGCGGGGCTGCGGGGCGGGGCCTGCGGGGCGGGGAGGCCTGGGACCGGCTGGGCACGCCTAGTGCGAACCCGGCAGGAGCCAGTAGGGTCCGGCACCGGGCGCCGGTGCAGGGGTGGGCTGGGCTGGGCTGGGCTGGGCTGGGCTGGGCAGGAGCGAGGTGCGGGGCGCGGGGCGCGGGGCGCGAGGTGCGGGATGCGGGTCTGCCACCCGCAGCCCAGCCCTCGCCCTCTGCACGCACAGCCTGTGCCCCAGCTCAGGGTTCCATCACCTAGGCCTCCCCCCGCCCCAAACACACACACAGGGCAGGGAAGCTGGCCGGGATGCGGGGTGCGGGAGGCGGCAGAGAGGCGCCGGAACGGACGCGGGGACCAGCGGGTGCCCCGCCTCCAGGCTCCTGGCACGGAGCGCGTCCTCCGCCATTTCCTTGGAGCCGGGGCGTGTGTGTTGGGGTGGGGGGTGGAGGGTGGGGGCGGGAGCTCGGCCTCCTTGGGGGCACCATTCAAGCTGGGGGGCTGAGGGGAAGGCCCAGGGCAGGGGTAGGGGAGACGGAGTGCTCTTTCCACCTTCTGAGCTCTCCAGGAGCCAGCTGGAGTCCAGCTTATCATGCCCAGGTTTTGGTGAAGGAGAGGGGAGGGGTCTCCTAGCACAGTTTGTGATACCCCCTCTTCAGGATGGTCCTACCAGAGGGAGCAGGAACCGGCCCTGGGCGCACCTTTCAAAGACACCTGGTGCCGGCGGGATAGTGGGGTGCCTGGAGGCTGGACCCGCCCCTCAACAGAACTCTGTACGTGGGACTGACTGGGTAGGAGAGCGAGTAGCAGGGAGGAACTGGTCCAAAGAAATGATGCCCACAAAGACAGAGAATCCTAAAGGGAACATTCGGGGCCCTCAGCACGGAGGGCCTCCCGGGTGAGGGTGGAGGAGAGTGCTGAGCTTCTGTGGGAAAAGCCCGCTGTTTCCTCCACCCCAGCCGCCTGTGCGGCCTGGCTCGTCTGGGCCAGAGGAATGGGAGCCTTGGGGTGGGGGGTCTGAGGTGCCTAAGCTGGGGAGGCCCTATGCAGGGTCTTTTCTGCCCGCTGTGCTCAGAGCCCCGCCCTCTCCCTGGCTGAGCTCAGGGCTGCATCAGAGATCTGCACATCACTCTGCAGATATGAAGTCAAATGAAGTCACCCGCGCAGGCGGGAGGAGGAGCTGCCAAGACCGGCCGGCCGGGGGCTCTGCCAGCAGGAAGTCCGGAGTGGGGCTGCTGGCAGGAGGCCAGTGCACAGTGCTGCCAGCTCCGTGAGCTGCCCTGCAGCCACCAGAACTGGTGTCGCCTGCCACACGTGCCCAGGGCCCCGGGCACTCAGGTTTATGGGGCTGGCGTTGGCCACGGGGGCCCCCTTGAGTATAGACAGGCCCTCTCTCTGGTGCTAATGGCCACAAGGCTGCACACTCAGGGCTATGTCCAGGGAAGGGAGGGACCGAGGGGGACTTCACCTGTGGCAGGAGAATGCAGACGGAAGAGGCGTGGCTTGGCCTATTCTTCCAACCAGCCCCTCCCCCAAGCCTCTTAGGGAGCACCTGGGCCAGGCCCGGGCTGACCCTGGGCAGGCTCTGTGTGTCCCATCTGAGGCCATGCTCTTGCCTGGGCCCCCTCCCCCTCCCGCCCTCTCTGTACCTCCACCCTTGGGGGTCTTGAGTGGACACCTGACGCTATGTGAGGGCATTGCCTTCATAAATCAGTGTCCGGTGGGGCCTCTCATATGTGTGCCACACACATGAACATGGTTGCATACCTTCCCCCTCACGCATGCCCAGGACCCTGAGCGGAGGAGCACACAGTAGAGGGCAGGGGTGAGTCCCTGGGCTTGCTGGCCTCAGACTGCAGGTGGGAGGGACTCATTGCCAGGGACTGTGCATGGGCTCAGGGCGAGGACCTCAGAGCAGCAGGGAGGGCTTCCTCCCCAGCGGGGAGGGGGCAGTGCTGCTTCCCTGAGTCCCCCGGGGTGAGGCTGGAAGCCCAGCAAGGGCATAACCCAAAGATGCTGGTCTGATTCCCCCCAAAATCTCTCCCTCTCCCCACCTTGTCCCAGGGGCCACAGAAGGTTCCGGTTCCCTGTCCTGGTTCCCCGCCATCTCCCCTGTGTCTGTTTCCAACTGTAAACACCGCCTCTTAGGAGGCGTGAGGATAAGAAGAGGGAGCGTGTGTGAGCGTGGCGCTCAGGGGTGGGCACACAGTAAGTGCCCCATCAATCACACCCCCATCGCGCCCAGGCTTAGAGCTTGGCTCTAGCCTTCTTGCCACGGCCACATTGTTGGGGCCTGGGCTCCCACAGGCACTGAAGTGCTCTCGGAGGTGGGGGGGAGGGGGTCACAGTGTCACCAGTGCTCCCACCCCTATCTCACAGCCCCCAGGGCAGCTGTTATCTGCGGGTTCCTGGGCCCTGCCTCCACAAAAAAGCATGTCCCCCAAAAACAGTTCCACAAGAGGTTCTGGTGCAGGATTCCGCTGTGGAGTGAGTCAGACCTGAGTTTGAATTTTGCTACTGACAAGTCACGTGTCACTGCTCAAGCCACTTTATTTCTCTGTGCCTCGGTTTTGCCATCTTTCAGAAGGGGGCTGAAATAGTGTGCCCCGCTCAGGGTGGCCGGGAGGAGAGACTCAAATAGTGTGTATGAAGTCCTGCCCCTGACACAGGAGAAGGCGCTCTGTGGGCGGGTGGCTCATACATGACTCCTGCAGATGAGGCCTACCTGGAGCCTCCTTGGGTCTGGCTCCAAGCACAGCACAGGGAAGGGAGGGCGGAGGTCAAGGGCAGCGGACAGCACCCCATCCTGTGCAGGCTCTGGTGGGGGGAGGAGGCAGGAAAGGATGCCTTGGGCCTTGGATCCAGGTGGCTGAGGGGACTAGGGAAGGACTGCTCTTAGGAGTGGAGGCTGATTACAGGGACAGGGACCCCGGTCCTGGGGGCTTTACGAGGTGGGGTAACAAAGGCAGGAGCACAGCCCAGTCCTGGGAGCATGGGACGCCAGACAGAATCCCAGGGACTGCTGACCGAGGGCTCTCAGGCCCCACCGGGGCCAGAGGTGGTCAGAGTGGGTGTGGGAGGGGGTCCCGGTCCCTCGGGCAGGCACTGTGAGGTAGAGGCTGGCAGCATGGACTCTGAGAATGACTGTGAGTGCTGTAGCCAACTGCTGGGTGCCTCAGTTTCCCCTCTGCAAGTAGAAGTAGTGATAGGGCTTACTGCTGCATTGCTACCCAGTGGGTGTGAGGTGCAGGCCATTCTGAAGGCTTTCCTCCAGGTGCAGCTTGAAGGACAGCCAGTGCCCACAGCTGGCTCTGGAGGCCCCGCCTGCCTGTCTCAGGCCCACAGCTGGCCAGTGAGAGGACCCTCCTCAGGCTGAGCCCAGGGCTCTGGAGCACACGTGACCAGGTCCTCACATCTGTCAGATCCAGTGCGGCTCAGACAAGGCCCGCCTCCCCCAGAAGGCCTGGCCTCAACTCTTCGCCCCTACTCACCCTTCCAAGGCCCCCACCGCAGATTGTCTCTCTCCTCTGAATCTCCTTCCCCTCCTCCTCCCTTCTCTCCTCTGCTGCGCTCCCCTTCTTCTCCCTTCCCCTTCTCTAGAGAAAACGGTCTCCATGTTTGCTTCCTAACCCAGGAGCCAGCCAGCTGCATGCCTGGGCCTCGGTTTCTCCTCTGTGATGTGGGAATGGCACAGTAACCGCCCTGCCGTGCTGTGAGGCCAAACCCCAAACGAAGCAACGACAGGGTCAGCACAGTCCCTGGCTCAGCAGAAATTTGGTGTTTTCCTCATTCCTCTTCGAAGTCCTGCCTGGGAGGGAGGCGGGGCCCGGGCATGGTGTGAAGGCTGCAGGAGGGTTCTGGGTGTGTGCTGGCTGCGTCTCTTCTCTGAGGGACCCAGCATGTTCCCAGGCCTCTGGGCCTCAGTGGGAAAGCAGGTCCCTTCCCCCAGGTGTCTGACAGGTGGACCCCAGGCAGCCAGTGTGAGCCGTTACCATTGACTCCCATCAGCAGCAGGAGTGAGGCCCACGGGTCAGTGGACAGTGCTGAGTCAGCACAGAGAGCAGGTGACCCCTAAATCCAAATGACTGCTTTCCTGGTGTTGGCTCCCCACTGCACAGGTACGAGGCACACCCGTGTGGGGTGGCACACACACTGCCTCACCCCTCCTCTCCCTTCCCCACATGATCCGCTGCCTTCTCATGAGAGAGAGTGAGCCCTGGAACCAGTCCTCGCTGCTTATCCAGCGCTGTCACTGCACCCTGGGGAGCCCCACCTGGCTCCGGGGGGCTTTGTCACCCTGAGAAGAGTGCCAGCCTGAGGGCACGGCTGGCTCAAGGCAGCTGGCACCGGATGGGGCTCAGGCCTGAAGGTGCCTCCCTCTGGCCTCATCTGGGCTGAGGAGAAGGCCGGGCCTGGCTCCCAGGCAAGCTGTGCAGACCCGGAGCTCGAATCGGCAAGTCCAGCAAATACGGCCTGGACGCTCTTTGGAAAAAAACACACATCTCCCCAGGAGGCTTCATAATCTGCCTTGTAATGCAGATTTAGACAAGTTTTTACGAATGCACTTTTTAAAATAGGTCTTAATGGATCCTTTGCAGTAGTTACAGTCCATCGCGTAAATGCAAACAGAGGCTTTTTGAAAACATGTATTATTGATCAGAAGGGCAGCAGCAATTAGAAGCCAGTGTGTCATATCATTCAATACACACTTCCTATACAGCCTGCTCGCATCCACTCATAACTTTCTGACAAATGGCCCTGTCACTGGGAAGCCGTTCTTTCCCCTTTTCGCTTCTGGAGTCCGAGGAGGACGGCTTGGTAAGTACAATAGCTGGAGGCAGATGAAAAATTAAACTCACTATTACCATGTCAGAGCCTACTTAGGAC